TGTCGTCAAGGGTGTTGTCGTGTTCGTCGTTGTTATCTTAATTCGCGTAGCGGTTGACATTCTACCCAACAAACAAGTGGGGTGTTTTCAACGCCAGCCCTCCAGTAGTGCCCTGCCCCCCCTCATTGAAACAACTATCCCCCCCAAAAGGTCTTTTTCTCCCCGGCAATCCACTGGAGGTCTGAGACGTTTTTTGGAGAAGTTCGCAGTTGTTTTTGCGGTGAAACACTTCGACCAACCGGGAACAGTCTTTCTGGGTTTGCCCCCATAAAGAATCAAAGCAAGCTTAAAAAAAGGGGCCTGAAAAGGCAAGTGCCCGAAATTCCCAGCCTGACAAAACAATCCAGAATCTGCAAAGGGCCGATCCTGTTTTTGAGCGGCGGGTTTGGGTGTGTGGAAAAAACAAATATTCTTGTCCGCCAGGGCGAAAACTGTGCCATTTGCTTGGATCCCATGGGGAAGGGTGCGCAGCTCGTCTGCAAGCACAGCTTCCACCTGGCTTGCATCCGTGAATGGTGGAGCCAGCAGCCCAGCTCGAAATGCCCCATGTGCCGCCAAAACCATTTTCAAAGTGTTTAGCACATTTCTGCGGATTTGGGCAACTTGCATTTTTTTGGGGGTAAACATTGATCCGAGCTCACACATGATCATTGATCCCGGACTTGGTGATTCCTTGCCGGTTTGCAAATTGTTGCAAAAGGGAAGTTGCCCAAAGATGCGATAGATGGATTGTGCTGCAAAGTGCACTGACCAAGTGCCAAAGAGCTTGATTTTCGCAGGACCGCTTGGTAAGGCAGAATAGCCGCTGAAGCAACTGCATCTTCGCGCGCGGTCTGCGCGTCTGTGCAAGCGCGCTTGCTTGCTTACCTCAAGGGAGGCGAGCTTTTCTCCCTGAAAAACCACTGTTTTTGAGCAACTCTGCACTGAGAAGCATGACTCTGAGAATGATACACTCATGGGATCAGTGCTTGCCACCCTGGGCGTTGCTTGTGATGACTAGACTTGAAGGGCGCACATCATGTTGCGCAGCTGAAGTGCTTGGCACGCTTCGAGTCCAGTTGTTCATGCTTGGCAAAGTGCCAAAGCCCCCGAACCAAATGCCAACTCTTTGATCCATGGATTCTTGCGCCGGCCGTGAGCTCTCATGGCGATGCGCAACATCTTGGTGTTTCAAGCCCAAAGTAGACAAAACACCGAGCACCTTCTGGAGCAATGCTCCGCGCTTCGAACAGAGGCGATGATTCTTGCACGGCAAAATCACAGGCTTCAATGATTGTTCTTAGTTCCCAAAAACAACCGGCTGCTATCTCTTGGCTTGCGGGCGGCAAAAAGTTGCGGCGCTGGGAGCGGGGAGATTCCTGGAAGCCTGCAATAGCCAACAGCTTTCCAGCTAGTTAGGCCTGCTAGCTAGCTAGCTAGTTAGATTGTTGGCTAGC